AATATAATATAATATAATATAATATAATATAATATAATATAATATAAAACTACATATATTGTAGGCTTACAATGTGCAAGACACTTTTATAAACCCCACACCAAACTATGACATCATATTATGATAGATAACTAATGTATAGAGGGGTAGTGAAATTGTGTTTTAGTGTCTATATGCTCAAACTATAAAGAGTTACTACACTATCTCTACTGAGAAGGAAGGAAGGAAGGAAGGAAGGAAGGAAGGAAGGAAGGAAGGAAGGAAGGAAGGAAGGAGGAGGAGGAGGAGGAGGAGGAGGAGGAGGAGGAGGAGGAGGATGCCACCATGCTATCCCCAGGCCTCCGGTACCATGGCCTGGTGAGCCCCAGCTAAAATTCTACCTACAAAGAAGTAAGTTGCAATTAAAATGACAAAATAATAATTTTTAATACTATTTAAATTCTCTTTTACTTTTTAAAGATGAGTCATAAAACCTTACATAAACATTCATGTAAGTACTAATTTTATTAAAAAAATAACAATGGTATATATATTTATATAGATAGATAGATAATGTGTGTGTAGGAGTGGTATCTATCTATATGTTTCTTCAAAAAAATCCCCCATTGCATTCTAGAGGCAATCAAAGGAACAGGACAAAAAACAAATTATAAGAATACTTAGGAAAAGAGTAGAGGAGTTACAGATATTTTCCTGCCAAAGAACAACATATATCAGGCAGAAGGTAAAGTAGACTTTTTGTCTTCTATATCTCATTTCTGCCTTGTAACTCTCTTATGCTCCTGCTCATTACTTCTTCTTTCTAGTTTCATTACAGACTTACTAGAATTTCTCCCAAGGCTGGTTTTCTAGCCTCCCTCCCTTCAACCCCCCTCCTTTCTTTAAGTTGCACTCCATCCTGCTCTAGGGCTCTATTTGGTACTAAGCTGAAACTTTGTTCTAAAATCATGGCTCCATTATTACCTATAAAAACATAGCTCAACTATTGAAATATTTTAGCATAACATTTTGTGTTACATGGAATTTCAAAGAGGCCATCATTTCCACACCTCTTTCATCCCAAATTATAAGCTATAAAAACAGTCTCAGCAATCCTCTGAAGCTATTCCACCTGGCACAGCCCTCGCCCTCGAATGCAGCATTACATTTCCTTGCCTTTTTTTTTTTTTTTTTTTTGCATTTAGGAAACCTCTTTTTAAAATGCACAGTACAGCCCATTAAGTGCCTTCAGGAATCTCTGCCAACTTCTTCCAGAATAAAGAGTTTTATTCTCTTTTGCTCAAGGACATTTTCAAATTTTCAGACATTTCCAGAGGTCCTGTCTCTTCCTATTCTCCTTGTTATGGGTATATATTTCTCCAGTCCTGACATGGTATGGTTTAAATCTCTCCATCTCAGGACTCTCCTGTAGATATTATCTAAGCTGTGTAAATATTCCTGAAACTGCAGTGTCAAGCCAGCACAAATCTCATTTCTCACTCTTTCTCTCCATAAATCACTTCCCCAGCACACTTTCTCATATCTTGCAGAAGACCTTTCGGCTGCCTCTCCACGTGTAGTTGTATGTACATACCACTTCTATCTAAATTCACCTGGCCTAGTTCCAGCTACACAGAAAGACTTATTGGTGCCTCTATATTACAGTTCCAGAGGGAGAAACTAGTTGATTTGTTTTGTTTGGGTAGCCACCTCTAGATCATTAGCTATGACCATGAACAAGTCACATAAAGCTGGCTTCCAGGGATCACTAGTCCAGATGAAACCAGACTGACAAAGATCTGAGGACAAAGGATCCAGAAAACAAGGTAATAATTGAGAGCTGGAGATGTGACCGTAAGCTTTCCCAGCCACCCTGCACTCTTTCAAGCTCAGAGAAGATGTTTAAATTTGCAATAAATTAGCTATTTTGTTCACTTCAGTATTGCTTTTTCCTCTTACCAATGTTTACTAATAAGTCAGATTTTTAAATGAGATACACAGGCTCTTTACCTGTGCCACAAGTAACTTTATCTTCTACACAAGTAAACGGCAAAATCAATCCACTTTCCTGCTGCAGAAATTCACTTTTACCACCATTTGCAAATCCCCATTCGCTTTGATTGTATATATAATACAAGTTATGCATTCAAACAAGTTTTATTTTAGATAAAACTGAATTAAGTAAGACCAAAATATTCTCCATTTTATCTTCTCTTTTAAGAAAACATTCCTATCATCTAGTAGTTTATATACTTTACCACATATACTTCGGTAGTTAAAATTCTTAAACACCTATTCACATTTTTTTCCTGATTTTTGTGCTTTACAGTGTCATATATGAATCAGCCATAGATATTTTAGAAAATATCAAACTAAAGAGATAGGTTTTCATTACATCATGCACAAGCCTGTCTCCTATCTATATCCCTCAATGAAAGTGACTTTTGTTTCTTACCCTCCATAGTCCTCCTCTTGAGATCTCCTGTCCTTGTCTCTAGAAGTAGTGTTTTCTACTTCCTGTTCTGATTTTCTTTCTACTCTGAATGGTTTTGACAGAATAAATTTCTCTAAAGCCAGGAAATATATAGTCTTCCCTAAAGATTTCTTTAATTATATTTCTTATAGAACTGCAAAGAGGTTCCTATTTAGTATCACTAGAGCCAGTATACTTGTTGCCACCTTTAGCCATTTTTATTTTTTGTCTTTGTACAGATTTATTTTCTAATCTTCTCAGAGCTCACTATGTCGTCTTCCCAGTCTCACTGGGTGCTGCATATATTGGTAGAAAGTAATTTTGTTTTTCTATTTTTGTTCATTTTCCATTCCTAACTGAGAATGCTCTATAAAAATAATCATTTTTCAGCATCTCTTAGTCTCTTTTGATAGGTTATTTTTTAATTTTATTTTAAAGAATATAGTATATTATTAACTATAGTAATCATGTACTCATATCTGTATTTCTCTTACTCAACAAATTTAGTATTCTTTGTAATACTTCACCTGCCTCTCTCAATACCTCTACTGGTAACGACCACTCTAATCTCTATTTCTTTTACATCAACTTTTTAGATTCCAAATAGAGTGATATCAAGTGGTATTTGTTTTCTGTATCCGGCTTAGTTTTCTTAACGCAATGTCAGCTGAGTTCAGCATCCATGTGTCTGATATTAAGTTACCTATTTCTGACTCAATAATGGTCTCTCTTCTATTCCAAATGTTACTTATGTCCTCTATCACTACTTACCAGAGACACAAATACTTGTGTAACACTGAGCATGATTTATTTCAAACCAATACAATCATTAAAATAATATGGTTTTGGAAACGTCACTGGTTGCTTTTTTCAAGTTTTTCTTAATATTAGACTTTGAAGAGAGAATTTCATTCAAGAAACTAATAAACACGTCACTATAAAATAATAAAGTCAATGTAAAACAATTGATTTTATATTTTAATAGATATTATCAACTCAATCC